TTACCTGGTTTTTATTTATTTTGTATTTTCATTTATTTTGCCAAGAGATGAGAACTTACCGGGAATATACATATCTACTATATGTTTGCTCAATGTAAGGAAGCAGATGATATTATAACATATCATATAGCACAATTTGAGAGTCTTGAAACATAACATTTAATGTGATGGTAAAAGCTTTCTTCTATGGCATAATTCGAATTTTTGGCGAGGCTTCAATTTCACAGTTCCCTAAGGTACATTTATAATTATTATTTTTGTAATATTGGTGCAGCTCGTTGGCAGAATCCCCAGCTGAAACACTTGGTTATTATAAGCAGAATAATTTGGGCTGTTCTCTGGAATGTGGCACCTGCTTTCTGCCTTTCTGCCATGAATGCGATTGCGACTCGTGAGCCGTGTGCACTTTATTTTTATGATAAATTAAGCATAACAAGGCTCAGGCAAACAAATTCAGTGCGGCACACACGGCGTATGCGCAATGTCGCTTGAGCAGCTTTCCGGCCCGTATAAAACACATCTTCATATGTGCAGAGGCGCATTACTTTCGCGTTGACAGTTGGCATTAAAATGAACGCCATAAATAATATAAGCAGCTCCCAGCATCTATTTCTGCCAGTTCCCTGTATCGTCTGTATCTCACTCTATGGAGGACAGCAGCTTAGGCCGACTTTCTGTACCCTGAATACACTGTATAATAGGCATAGAGGGTATATTGGCTCAAACGGTTGCAATGAGTAGGTGGATAAATTCTACAGTAGTAGGATGAATTAGATTAAGACAGCAAACTAAGTTGCTCTAGATATTGTTTAGACTGAATATTCTAGGTCATGCGAAGTGATTAAACATCAGCTGGTTTCAGGGTGATTTCTAGATGCCTTTCAATTGAAATGAATATAGTGTTGCTTGACAATCAAAAATCTCAGCTTTCTATAAGGTTATACAGATATATAATGTAATATAGTTATATATTTTGGTTATATGATTTGGCTGATATGGTTATTTTGCTGGTCTCTGAGATATCAAAATCACATTAAAAATGAAGCTGCATTTCGACCACGTTTAAGTTTTCCCATATTTCGTATTTCATTTGCAGGGTATTTCTTTATGCAGCATATTTCCCACTTTTTTTTTTTTTTATATATATTGCTTGGTTGTCATTTCAAAATATGTTGCCCTGGGCACCTAATCGTATATGCTCTTGCTTTGCATACTCCATATATTGTTTTGTATTTTTCTGTGAATTCGAGGCACAACATATGTAGCACCGTATCCGTTTTTTTACCTCGAGGCTGGTTCCTGTTTTTGTATTTCTAACCTTTGATCTGGACTTAAATGTTAGTTTGAGCATGAAAACTTGTTAAAGCTAATTATCTTTAAAACCTTATTTCGGTAATAGTTTCAGTCTGTTTATGCAGACATTTCAGTTTCTTTTCTTTTTTCATGGTCATTTGAAATAGGATTAGGCCAAGCGGTAAGTCTTTAAATCCTTCTCGTTTAGCGGCGCATCTTCATTAAATAAACGACGAGAAAATCAAGGCATGGACAAATTTTGACAGTGGCCCGCCCACAACTAATTTATGAGCAGTAATTTACTTCAATTTTAGTTAAACACAACTTTGCTAAAAAGCTCCTCATACCAGAGCTTGTCCCAGTTGTGTAGATTGTTGTGGCTTCTCCTTTGCATACCCTGCACTTAGGATGCCTTCAAAGGTATATCGAGTCTTAGTAGCTGGTTTTTTGTAGCTTATGACAAAGCTACATATACATATATGTATATTTATGTTAAATTAAACATACAAAAACGAATATGTAATATTTTGTATTATAATATTTTGGCTATCAGCTTAGTAGTCTCAAATATTTTTATCTATTTCACATTATTAAATATTTATTGTATAATATAAATATACAAAATGCATATATTGTAAATTAGGATTATCTGCGTAGGATTTGCGGCTCTTACATTTTATACCCAGCATTTAGGATGCGTTTAAAAATAAATATATTTGCATTGAATTGTAAAATTTGTTTCTCAGTTCCTTAGACTTTTGTAATGCCAATATTAAAATCGTTGAAAATTCATTTATTCAAACGCATTATACAAATTTGGAATTAGAAAACTTTTAAGAGTACTTCTGCTACACATGTGTTGAATTTTAAAAATTATTAACTTTATTTCCTAGTTTACTTTACTTATTATACATTAATCTAAAATATCACAAACCGAGCCTCAATTATTTTCTATTAATTTATGAACATAGACAATTTTGTGAGTAGTGAAAGTATAATGCTCAATGCAGGGTATTGCCGTATCGAATACAACTGTGCAAGCCTATTAATGTTTCTTTTTTTCATTTTTGGGTTTGTTTTATTTTTGAAATGCCTGCAAATTCACTGAAAATAGAATTGTCTAGCAACACAAATGGTTGAATTTGACAAAGCTTCAGTCACATATGACGCCCGCTTGCTGCTCGGTGGTTTATCCTGCTGCTGTGTTGTAAGTGTGTTTGCTTGCCTGTGTGCGTGTTGTTTGTCTCATTGTGCACAGATATTTCACTTAGCAAAACTGAGAGCTGTGAAAATAAACTCACAGCTAGCTGCTGTTTATAAATCTGTTTCTTTTATTTGCACTTTGCCACATCAACTTAAATTAAAAGCAAAAGCAAAAGCAAGCCAAGAGCTAAACACGCAGCTGCTATAAAATGGATCCCTTGTCTGTATGGGTGCGCGTGTGTGTGTATCATATGAGGCGGTCCCTTTTATGACTTTCTATGTTGCACTGGAATATTGCTAAATGTGCTGTGTCCAGTTCGCAGTTGCCTTTGCGCCTTGTGTTTCATTCGTTCGTTTTACTGTCAACGGCGATTAGTTTGCATTAGTGTATCTCTGTATGTGTATGTGTATGTGTGTGTGTTTGTGTGTCAATATGAGTGCGTAGCCACAACTTAAAGATTTTAAGAGCCAAAGTAAACAAATAAAGAATTTAAATCAAGCCAACGCACTTAAAGAGTCTTGATGCACATTTTGTGTTATTGTGGGACAAGCTTACGCGGCATTTGCGTTTATTATCATTGGCATGGGCGGGATTTTATATTATTAAGACAAAAATAAAAGAAGGCGCTTAGGGATTCAACAAAGAATGCCTTTAAATTTAAAGCAAAATTTCTTTACGTAGTAATTAATCATAATTGAAATAAAACAGCTAATTAGCTTAAGAATTTAGGATGCTTTTTTAAAGACTGCTGTTGTCAATGCTGATGATAAATTTAACAAGCGCTGGATTAACTTTTTGGCTTAGCATTAATTATGGGCTACTCTACTCGAATATTTGCGTGTGTGTGAGTGGCAGCGCGGGTAGGCATCTTCATTAAAAACATACACGCTGCAAATTAATGAGCGTTAAACGTGGCAAAAAGTCAAGCAGAAAAGACTTTTTCCCACATTCACACACACACGCACGCACACACACACACACAGACACATATGCACATACATACATAGGCAATAAAAGGCGAACAGACACGTGAGACAAATGCATATGAGTTTTGAGACCTTTAATGGGTTTCGCAGTTGGGCAGCTATTAAAGAGGCATACAGACAGTCAGACCGACTGGCAGACAGACACAGCTAGGCTGTTGAATACTCGCCAAGACTCAAAGCAACGACATTTGTTTAAATACTGTGCGACACGCAGCGTATGCGCAATTTTATATAACACTGCGTATGCGTAATATGTTAACCTTGAAATTCAATTTTATATAATATGGTTGTTTGGCTTTTCAAATTGTTTACATTGTTGTGAAGTAACTTTTAATAGCTATTCACGAGAAGAGGAAGAAGCCTTTTAGCTTCATCCCGCACAAAAGTTTATCCTAACTCATTTCCATTTAGTCACTTCTTTAGTCTGTCAGTTAAAGGCAAAACTTCACTAAGTTTACACAGCGAATATCTTAGAAGAGAGTCAAGTTGGAAAGTCCAATTAAACAGCTAAGCTAGACTAAGTGCACGTTAAGCAGCATTTCAATTAGTGTTCAAAGACGCGATACAAATTTACCGATTTCTTGAATCAACAAGTTTTTTGCACAAGCATATGCCATCTAATCCCTTTGAAAAATGGCGCACAATTCCGTTATAATATCAGATACTTTTACGTGCAGATCCTTGGCAGAGAGAAGCTCAACTCATACGCACGGATTTCGGCGCCATCATATCCGTTTTCGATTAGGCGAACTGCCTTGGCAATTTCATTTTCGTGCCAGTGATTGACATTGCTGTCAACAAGGATGGAAGCGAGTAACAGGTGTGCTGAGTGGGCCAGAGTAATAAACGTCGAAAGGAAATGGCTAAGGCGAGAAAGCACAACGTGGCAACAAGCTGAAAATGTTAGCATAGCGTGTAGAAAGTTTTTCCTTAGCACCTTGGCTACGTCGAACATGAAGCTGAAGTCCAAGCGAAAGCTACTTATTCTCCTCAGTAGCCTTTTAATTATGTGAAAGCTGATTATGCAAATGGGGGAACTTGAATGCGTAAACATGTGAAATATGATATCGATAGGGGTTGGGGATAGCGAATAGACTTGGTTAACTAAAACACACATACACACATACACACTCACACGAGGCGCCATTCGCCAGGCATCCACACATTCTCACACACTCAAATAGCATGTAAAGAATGCTTAAAGGCCAAGGCTATGCAATTTTAATGATATGGATCTGATGAAGGCCAACGGCGTTTGCTAAAGGACTTAAATCAAAGACTCTGCGAGAGCCGAGATCAACTCAATAGACTATTTTAAATAAAGTGAGAATTATTTTTTTCCTTTTATCTTTAGAAGTATCAATTATGAAATGAAAGAATATTAAATATTTGATGTATAGACACATATAAATTGTGAATATTTATGAAGTCTATTTCTAGAAATAATCGATTTATAAGCAGAAATTACTTGAATTAATAATATTAGCTCAGATTAGGATTTTTTACAGTTTGTCAAATGTGATGTTTGTCACATATTATTTTAAGATAAACAAATCTCATGTGTTTCGCACGTTTTGAGCAGCCCTCGCATGCAGACGATTGCTGCGCAGGATGGGTCTCAGGGCAGGCCTCCTCTTTGTCACACGCTCTCTGACCATCTGATTACAATGATTGCGTGTATGTGTGTACTGTGTACATGTGTAGTAGTCTGATTTATGTTTATTTAATAATTCAGACTTTTATCACACAGCTACCAAGCAGAAACGTTGATGGCCTGAAGGGCTGAAGGGCTGAAACGCTGGCGGACAGAGAGTGAATCAGTCGATAGGCCGAAGAGTCGGAAGCTGGTGAGCATTAAATTTCGCTTATGCTTCAGAACACGGCCTAACCACGCTCATTGTCAGTGACAGTGAGTGGGATGGGGGCTAGAGGCATCGCTCACAGACATAACAAGCTTGAGTGCTCTTGTCGGGAGTACTCGACTAGGCTTTCCCCTGAGTTTTCGTCTATATGTAGATATGCACAGCCTAGACACGACCTTTGCTCTATAATGAAAACAAAAGAAAAAATCAATATACCTTCAAATTCCATTTACAACGGAATAAGGGAATAAAAATGCAAATTAGATGGCCAGCCAGCAGGCTGCATGGGCAGGACTCTCGACTGTGGGCATCTGGCTGAGCAACAGCAACAATTTTAGCCACATTAGCAATAACATTTAGCTGGCCCAATTCACGAACATTAAATATCTGCGTGCTCTCATTGAAATTCCGATTTTAATCTATTATTAGGTCGACTTGTGGTCACAGTCTGCTCTCTGCTGCCCCACAATTACAAGTCCCGAAGTGCGCGGCAGCTGCAAATTATGCCTCTGATTTATGCGAACTCATTTGAATAATTAATTCAGTTTGATCCGCATTCACATAAATGCATAACTTATCGTCAATTCACGCGCTGCGGGCGAATCACCGAGTGGATGAGCATCTGACGAATGCCACGCATCGGGGCATCATTAGAGGCACGTGAGTTAAAGTTTCTGATTGGCCCACACAATCCAGGAGACAAACACACCAACTCACACACCCACAAACCTACACACACACAGACAGACGAAAGTTAAAGCTCGAGCTCCAAGTTCTGCGGAGTCCTCAATGCTCATAAGCGTGTGTGTGTGTGGGTGTGTATGAGACTTGCATTATTAAATTCTTAGTACATAGTAGAACAGTTGGTAAGAAAGTTCGGTTTATCAATTCAGAGTTGTTATGTGAGGGAGAGAAAGAGAGCGAGACAGAAAATGTGTAAATAAAACCTTCATTAACATACATTTTAAACGAGTCAATTGGAGTGCACCAACTTCAGCATATGAAATGCATTTACTAAATAAATAAAAAATGTATTATACAGGATCCATGACCATTAAAATTATTATAAAAGAGCTCTATTAAATAAAAATTATTTTTTGAGTCATTTAAAAAAATTATTTTTAATTATTAAAATTAATGTATATGAAAAAAATAAAAATAAACCATTACACATCAATTTGTATGGTAAATTTAAAAATAAGACTACTGACTGAATATTATATATATGTATGTATATTATATTATATTATGATTAGTATATCGGAAAAATCTTATGTGCAATTGTTATTACTTATTATTGTACTTATTGCTTAATGGGGTCATAGAACCTTTCAGTTGTTTTAAAGATTGAAATATATGAACATTCAATATTGAAACTCCTTGTGCGACTCAGGCGCTTTGCATTCGTTTCTTCCTTTCAACAGTCCATTGGGCATTTACTTCTATAAACAGTTAAGGTTAAATGAACCCTCACTGTAGAGAATATGTATCTCCATAAATATCATGGAATTGTTTTATTTACCCGACTAGTCAGCTATGCCCCAGTACACAGTTAAAAATAGTGAGTGATATAAATAAACTTTTCATTTAAAGACCTTGAATTTTTATAGCAGAAAATTTAATTTTCTTAAATTTCAAGACAAAACATATTATTGATTCGGATAAATCGAGACTAGTGAATTGAGAGACATTTTCTGTAATCCCACAAAATTTATTTAACCCATCGTGCTTCCCTCTAGATTGCTAAATGCCATTTGATGTGCTCGCTTTAGTTTAAACTCCCATTTAGGTATAGACCAACTTTGGCGTAAGGCAGTAGAATCACCCTCGTTCTATGCCAAACGGAACGCTTACTCAATTACCAGCAGGACGTGCTCTTCCTGCCTTGGTACAATATTCGCCCGCAGACAGACAAAGCGCACCAAAGCGAAACTTTAATCAACTGTCAATAATTGATGATAATCACAGCGCAGTGTAATATTGCTTATCAGCAGATACAGCAAAGCCAGCAACATCAACAGCAACAGCAACAACAACAGCAACAGCGAGTGATTAACTTAATAAACGGCGCAACGACGAAGAGGCAACCAAAACAAAGCGAGCGACGAGGCAAACGACAAACCAAATAGATGGCAAGTGGAATGCAAACACAAAACGAAATAGCTGAAGTACTTTTTTTTAAAGATATACACGACTCTCATATACCTCATGTGTGCTTAAGAGTCCCTGGTTGGTTAAGTATAAAAATTTTAGTAGTATAAACATCTTTTTAATCATCATAAAAAATATAATAATCATCATAAAGAATAAATAGGTATTCAAAATAATTCTCATAATACTATTCACATAAAAAATGTAATTAATATAAAATAATAATTTCGTATCTTTGAATTCTTATATACATTGCGTATATGCTACCACCAAGCAAGTTAGCCCGATTGGAGCGTGTGTATCCGGCAACTAGATAATTGGACACAATTAATGCAACGGCATGCGGGCAGAGCGGGAGATGGGGAGGTTGACTGAAACAGATGGACAAAGAGTTGTATTGGTTGCTGTTTCGATGGCTTATCATGGGGGTCACGGCGGCAGTCAGAGCTAATTATCGTACTAACCTTATCAATATAATTGTTGTCTAAAAATAAACAAAACTCCACATAAAATTGTATATTTAGTTCAGTTTTTTTTTTTATTTTTTTTTATTTTTTATTTTTTTTTTATATATGTTCCTGCAAGTGCCTCATAAGGTAATATGAAACAGGTTCCGACCGCAGCATTAGGTACACAAATTACGATGCTGCCTCTCTCGGCGAGCACCCGAGCACGTAGGACCATTCTCGTTAGGACCGTGGCAGGACCTGTTGAAACGGCGTACAGACCCCTGTTTCACCCCTTCTGTAGTTTATAATGATAAGGACTCGGCCATATGCATGCAAATTGCTTGTAGGCAACATTAAATTTAACAACCACTCACACACACATACACAATCGCTTGAAAATCGCATGGAAAAGCTTCTGTAAGGAATTCAATTTTCAAGCTGACTCCATCAAATTACTGTACCCGTTCACAAAGTCAAAGCAGCATATTGGGCTCTATAATGTCTGGGAGACTCACAAAATCAATCAAGTGCTTCACTATTGACCTCCTCTACAGATAAACGTCTAAATTATTTGATTTGATTGATTAATTTGATTGATTATTTGATTGTCTCACTATTAGCTCCTCAACAGATTTGATTTGATTGCCTATGAATTATTTTTTTTGTTCATTAAGCGGTCTTTAATAAACACAACTAACTATGTATCATGGGCAAGAATTATGTAGTCGATTGAGCCCAAGCACTCGTTTCTTTTCCGTTTTTGTGTTTATCAACTTTAGTAGTTCATGACAGTTCCCCTTTCTCTGACTGTGACTGTGAGTGTGTGTGTGTTGGCACTTTATAGCTCGACGAGCCGTTAAGCGGCTGACATGGCCCTTCGACCTCACCTTGCGTTGGCAACAGGTGGCAAGTGTTTGTCTTTTGCTGCTGCCGCTTGATAAAATGCCTACTGGTATTTTCTTATTGAAATGTTTTTTTCACTTTTCGCACAATTTTCCAATTTTGACATATTCAATTGTGTAGGCCGTAAACAGACGGGCGAAATTGGTTAGAAAAGTGTCAGCATTATTTGAAATGCAGATAAACATGATTGTGGAATCAAGTCCGGCCATAGAAAAAACTTGTATATAACAAACTTGTAATATAAGGCTTTTACTTACTTATAATGATATTCTTCGAGTGCTGTTATTCTCAGCAATTTCATCTGCTTTGTGATTGATACATAAAATGAAACTCAATGTCTTTAACTGAAAACTAAAATTTTGCAATAAATTTATTTCTTATTTTCTATTTATAATTTGAATCTTAATAATATTCGTTTTAAGCCTATTTTGATAATAGAAATAAAATGGTCGATTTACTATTATCTATTTATGTACATATATATGTATATATATTCTATTTTAAATTATCTTTTAATTGCCCACATGTCATCAATATTTGAAATGATATTGATGACTTCAACTGATCAAAGAAAATATATTTAGCTTTAAGTCCGATGCTTACTAAAAAGCCTAGTGTTTGCACATCTGTCAGGACTATATATTGGTAAGCACATTGCGTATACGCAGCGTTGTCTCTTTGGGTAAGTAAACAGTAAATTATGCTTGAAGATGCTATTATTTCCACTAAATATTGAATCACCTGCAATAGTCCCTTTAAATAATATTCAACTGAAATATTTGACAAACAGACACAGCCACAGCGCTGTCTCTTCTTAAGAGCTCGACTTTTTTTTTTTTTTTTTTTTTTTTGTAGCCAACAATTGAGTCGTTAGCTGCGCAATGAGCAGAGCTGTGATTTATCTGCGGGTCCATTGATTAATATTGAACGTCACGGATGCCGTTGGCAGATTGAATTTTATTTATTTATTTTTATTATTATTTTTTTTTTTGTCTCGCATTTGCTCCTAAATAAACCACGTTAACTTTTATGAGGCCCCTGGACGAAGTTCTGCATGGCTCCACGCATAAAACAAAATCGTGGACAGCTTAGAGCCGGGCCATCTATCAGCCATAAAAGCGACCCAGAGCATTGGCAATAAGTGTGTGGCATTTCATAAATAGTTTTATGCACCGAGCATAAAAGAATGCAGCATAAAATCAAAATGAAAAACGCATAAAGGCCGCAATCAGACAGCGGTTTTTGCCGTGCTCAACATGCACGCTTGCCACACAGACTTTTGGTGTTTAAAGTGCGATTCACAGAATGATTTCGACAGTTTGCACAATTTGTTCGCGTGGCTTTGCATCGGGTGAGTTATGCAAATGAGCAGGATCTGCGATGTCCTTTCAGTTTTATTGTCTCTACCGCTGAAGGCGTTGAGGCATTGGAATTCCGAAAAAGCCGCAGCAACAAAGCAAAGCAAAACCAAACAAATAAGGCCAACAAAAAAGGGATACATATAATAAAATCAAAAGCAAAGCACAAAAAATAGCAAACGAGAAACAAATAATAAAAAATGCGTTGAAAGTTTCATACGGTTTTCCTTCCTTTCTTTTTCTACGGCCTTTGGAGGAATGTAAGTGGGTGAAACAAAGGACGAAAGGATTCTTCCGGCAGGCCTTGCCGAATTTTGTATACATTTATATATATAAATATATGAAAGCTTATCACGGAATTCAACAGAAATATAAAATTGGGCTGCCAACCAAAGAGGATCTGTGAATAATAAATGTATATGCTAAGGTGCAAAACAAGCAAAGCCTATTCTGATTGATATACAAAATATTAGGGTTGTCGATTTTTATTTTTTAAATTGAAAATTTTCAAATTTTATATCAATATTTTTCGATTTTTTTTCTATAAATTCATAATCCGTCCCAAAAATTAAAAAATATAAGAATTAGTATTAATTGTTAAAATAATAAAGACCGCTTAACGCCAGTATTCGATTAAGATTTAAAAAAAAAAACGCGCTCTGTGATATGAATATCCGCCATTTTATTGCCGAAGCAAGTCGCTCCGAAGGCACTGAGCTACCAGGCATAGCCACCTTATGAGAAATCCAAAAGCTGCAAGCTGCGGTACATCTCAAGCTCCCTTGTTTCCGCACAGTGTACTGCACAGTGTAAGCATCATAGTGCTTGTTTTTCATATGCGACACAATATTTGATGTGTTACCACTTGTTTTTATTATTAATTGAAGCCACAAATTATATTTGGCTGTTCCATTTTTATAGTCCGAATAATTCGTTTTCGCCATATTATACTTTTTGATTTTGCGCTTGGTTCATTTATCACAAGATTGACCAACTCAAATATATAATAATAAAATTTAAAAAATCGCAAAAAATATCCCCATATAAATATTATGTTTAAGCAAAATAATATGAATATATTTTCGATAGCCCCACAAAATATAGTTCGTATATAGAAATATGACTCCACTACGGAGTTACATGCTTATGTTAAATTATAACAAATCAATTTCCATGATATTATGTTTAAGTAGAAAAGGATAATGTGTCCTGTGCTCTTAAATTAACGCTATCGACATGTATTTATAACATTATCGATAATAAATGTCACTCAAGAGATGAAGTTAAAATATAGTTAAAATACAGTTTAAATAAAATCTTTCGAGCTTAATAGCTCACATTGGAAAACACAAACAGGAAAAGCTTCTATTTTCATGGAAATGGTCAAGTCACGTTGTTACGCTCAGTATGTCTAATTTATCAGTTATTTATTTACTAAAAGATAACTTGAGACAATAAACATCTGAACACTTCCGTATAAGGGACCTAAGTCCTCTTTTGCCATATAAGCTTAATGGAGAAAAGGAGAAGGGATAATTAATTGAGATGTCAAAATACTTTTGTCCAGCCAAAGAATGATAATCTGCCATGTAGTTAATTATAAGAGACAAAAAAGGATTGCACTGATAACGTAGCAGATCAGTGCAATCTTTTGTTCTCCTAAATCTATTATTTTATTCTCTCTCTTAAAACTTTAATAGATACCGTTATTTCTCTCAGCATGCTGATACAATTTATTTAGGTTTTTGCAATAAAGATCCTAAATAAAGGAAAACACCCAAAATGTCTCGAAAATACTCACCAAGCAAAGGTGTGTAACAGCTGATGTGATGTCCAGGTAAACACAGTGTTCACTCAACTATAAATGACGGTGCTGCTGTTTTAAGGACTTTGAATACTTAATATGCGGCACGCTTGTAGAGCAGGATTAAAAGCGCAGAGAGCGAGAGCAACGCGCGCGGATCACGCGAGGATGCATATAATTGTATTTATGTTTATATGGTTTTATTTATGGCACTTAATTTGATTTTTATGTACTTTGATTTCCATTACGAAAAGCAGATTTGCCGCTGTTCAATGGGAGGATATGGTCATAAACAATATGTAGGTATGTATGTATGTATGTGAAGAGCTCGTTCAATAAATGTATTAAAGCGACGCTTTGACGCAAATACAATTTTATTTCATTCGATTGTATCTCGTTTCGTTTCGTTTAAGATTTGCTTTTGATTCATTTCTTTTATTTGCAATTTGCACGTGTTTTTCGCTGTAATTTTTGTGGGCGGGGCGATGCCCAAATTATTCAGCGCAGGGATACAAATGTATAAAAATGAAAAAAAAAAAAAAAAAAACAAGAAAAAAACCAAAATCTCAGCAGACGGCGTTTCCGCAAACCATATAAAGAAATTTTCGTTTTTATTTGCTGTTTAATGCCGACGCTGC